TTTCTTTTTCTTCGGATTGGTGTTGTAGGACTGGTGTGGGGGGGTGTCATTCGGTAGCCGTTGTCGGGGTGGGGGTGTAGGTGTTGGTGCCGGCACCAGGGGTTTTTGAGCTACTGCTCACGGGTGGGTCCGGGGTGGATCCTGGGGTCTGGGGTCCCTGGGGCGCGTCACCCTCGGGCGGGGGGTTTGGGTTCTGTGGGGAGTACTGCTTGGGGTCTGGGCCGGTGTACGCCCAGCTGTCCACCCCTGCCACGGCCTCTGGTGTGCTGGGGTGCCTTAGGGCCTGTTGGGCTGGAGGGGCATGGACATTAACACCTATGGCAGATGCTTACCCCTTCAGGGGTTTGCACTCTGCTAATGGGGGAAGGGGAGGGAGGGGGAGTAGGAATGATCTCGGCCTGGATGTCTTTTGTCACTTGTGTGGTGAGTAGTTTGAATGTTAATGTAGGGAAGGGATTAGATCTCCGGAGGGGGGTGGGGGGGTGATAGAGGGAAGAGAATATCAGAAGGGCTTCGGGTCTGGCTCCCTGTCTCGGTCCTGGTCCGTGCCGTCCCATGGTGGGGCTTCTTCCGGGGTGGGGGCTCTGCGTGTTGAACGTGGGCTGGCTGGCCGGTGTTGTCCCCCCCTTATTTATTCATTTATTTTAATTATTATTATCATTAATTATTTTTTGTAGATGGACAGGATGGGGGGAGGGTGGTGGTGTCGGCCCTGTGCCCAGCTGGCTGGTGGGTGCTGCTGCCAGTCCCGGGCCCCCGGGCTATGGTGGTGAGACTGGTGGGGCCTCCTTCTCCAAAAGGGGCTCTCGGGGAACAAAGGTGCCTATTGGAGTCAGCGGGGGAGCTGGCTTCCTGGGAGTGCAGCAAGCACCCCAGTCCTTTGCTCCACATTCCCAAAATCCTCCCTCTGCCTGCTCCATTACACTGCCACACATGTAGGTTTTTGGGGAGGGGGTCGTTACTGCAGGGCCCCACCTTCTGATGATGTCCCCCACCCCAATTTTATTTGGCATTTTAGACACTTCCATCTACAACATTTTCACAACACACATCTATGCAGGGTATTTTCTGGGGGGTGGGGATCAAGGCCACCCAGGGGAGGCTTATTTTATGGGCCCCACCATGGTCAGCTTCCTCCATCCCCTCTCGCATCTAGACATTGAGGGTTCAGGGATGTCGATTGGGGGGTTGCACTGGCACCACCTATCTCCCGGAGGGGGGGTGGACTGTGCCGGACACCCCCTCTTGGTACTCCCAGTTTTAATTACATCTGAGAGCAACATGCAACAACACCACATGGAAGAGTGAGCCACCTGGTCCGTGGTTTTGGCTGGGTGGCCTGCCACCGGCAGGCCTCCCAGGTTGGGGTCTGAACTGACCCCTCTCCCAAATACATCTCAAGTCTCCACTAAGTGCGGAGCACATTCCCCCCATCCTGCTCTCCTTCCGCTGGCTGGCATCGGGGCTCGCCGGTGCACTGGTGGAGCTTGGGGTCTGGGGGTGCATGCCCGGGTAGTTACTGGCTCATTCCTGGCGGCCTCTCTGCGGGCGCCGGCTGGCTGGGGCCTTGCTGGGGCTCCTGTCTGGGGGTCGGGTGCCCCTAGGGCCTCGGATCCCTGGGGCCTGGGACCGGATTCACTTCGGGGAGGGGCTGGGTGTTGTTCAGGGATTTTCGGTGCTGGTGCCTTCGCTTTGATGCCGGTTCCTGGGCGATGCAATTTTTCGATGCCGGTTTTATGGTATCAGTTCGGGGACGAGGAGAGTTGCATGGCGTGGTGAGGTGCGGGTCTTGGGTTTTGTTTTGGGCTCTGTTTTTTCCATTTGCATTTTTCCTCTTGCATGGAGGAATTTTTTTCAGTTGCGGGCGGGTCGGTATCTGGTGTTGACTGTTGCATTGTGGGGGGCCTTTTTGCTTCGCTGTTTTTCTTTGGAGGGATTGGCATGTCTTTGGGGGGGCTGGAGATGATGAGCTGACTTCGCTGATTGGGTTTTCAGGTGGATTTTCCCACTTGGAGGCATGGTGGAGTTGCTTTGTTCCCGCTGAGCACAGCGGGTGTGGCTGCGGGGCGGGTGGAGTGCTCTGCCCGGTGCGCATTGGGGGGCCGGAGCTGTCAGAGGCTGCTGCGGGCGGCGGGTTGCTGCTCTTGCTGCGTCCGGCGTGGGAGCGGCATGGTTCGCTCCGCTCTGGCTTTGCGCTTCCCACAGGCTGCTGGGGGGGATGGTTGCGCCCGCTGCGGTCCACTCTTCTTGCCCTTGGGTTGTTTCCCTGCGCGGTGTGTTGCGTTGCGCACTGTTGGCATCGGTCTTGGTGAGGTGGGGTCATGCTTTTGACCTGGGGGGCATTTGTGGTGGTTCCACGGCGCTCACGGCCATTTCGTGGCAGATGTCTGTGGGCCCTGGCTGTGGGCGTGGCTGCCTGTCTGTTTTTCCTGGACAGTGCGGTCGCGTTGGATGTTGCAGCCGGTCGCCGAGGCTTGGTGCCGGGGGGCGGGGCGTGTTTCGATGGTCTGTGGGGCCGGGGCATTTTGGTCGGTGCAGTGGGGGGGCCGGTGTTCGGTGCCCAGCCCTACTTCAGGGTGGCCTGCTGCCGGCGGAGCCCACGGATCCCGCGGACTCGTCCCCACGGCTCCCCAGGGCACTGGCATGGCAGTGGCTGGGGGGCTTCCTTGGGGGCTGTCTCTCCTCCTCCCTTGGTGGGGGTCTGATTTCCGGGGCTGGCCCCTCTTTGGTGCCTTCACTCTTGGGGTCCCTTTGGGCGCCTGGGGCTTTGGGTCTCCCGGCGCTGGACTCAGTGCTCTGGGGGGTGTGCCTCTTTGGCTCTCCACAACCACTATTGAGCATTTATTCTATGGATAAACTTTACATGCACAAGTGCACCCTCACAAACAATTACAGGTGCTTGGCTCCAGGTACTCAGAGATTCACTTCCATACAGAAAGCTCACATTCATATCTTCTGGTAACACAGAGTACATGTTAGACTTCATAATACTACTTTAGCGATAGTTTCAAGGTGTGTCTCTATTGTATGTCTCGTACCATGTCTTTCGGTTGTGCTGTTCTTTTTTCATCTCGTTACAGGTGATGAAGCAGACTGAAAATGTTTTGTCATTGTCTCCTTTCTATCTCCTCTTTCTTTCATCTTTTCTTTTTTTTTTCCTTTTTCTTCTTCTGTTTTACTGCTCTATTTACAATGCAGTGTCCATATACATTGTAAAACTCCCTGCATAATTATAATAAAGCAATTTATATACATGAAACAAGTGGAGCTATATGGCAATTGCCGTACTGCTACACTTGTGAAAATAAAATCTGTTGGGCTCTTTTTGGCATCAAGACAATTATTCTTATTGCCACAATGCCAGAGAGGACACTGTAAAAAAAAAAAAAAAAAAAAAAAAAAAAAAGAAAATAAATTATTTCTGGCTTTGAGAATGGCCCAGACCAACGTCACTGTTTCAATGGTTATGTTTGCAGCCGTTTCATTTACCTGCCTGAGTTGTTGTGTTCCATATCTCAGAACTCTGATGTTGAGGTTATCGCAACTACCATTGGGGAAGGGAGTGCTGATATTAAACCTCCGCCTTGTCAAATGTGTGTTTTGACTGACTCTGATTGTTAAGAGCTGAACTTGTCATCTGTGTGAAACATCTTTTTGTTATGATTTTAACATTTTACATTGAGATGGTTAATTTTTTACTCATAATGAGGTTTGTTGCATTCAGGAGCTCAGGTTAATCATTTGACTTATACTTTCCAGACATAAAGGAGTCTGTTTCTAGCGATTTTACCTTTTTTATTCCAGGGAAACAATAAAGGGTAACTAATAGTTGCAAGCACTAAAAATAATAATATATATTTTTTTAATTTTCAAAAAGATCTTTTAGCATGAAAAGAACCATCATGGGGAATAACACTTAAATGTTTTTGCCAACAAGGGTGTGATTTCAGGGCTCTATTTATTGGCAACATATTCTAGGTATCATAACCCTTTCCATGATTTTTCCACCTATATTATTTAACATTGTCCACTGGCTTGATTGCAGGTGTGCATATATATATATATATATATATATATATATATATATATATATATATATATATATATATATATATATATATATATATATATATATATATATATATATATATATATATATATATATATATATATATATATATATATTTATATATATATATATATATGCATTTCAATCTGTCTTTATTTCATTGTTACTTACATTGTCGTTTCTTAGTTCTTATTTCTCTTTACATTTATTCGCTAATTGTCCTTTTTTATTATCGATTACAAAACGATGATACCCCGTGGAACTGTGATCGGAAAATTAAGATTTCTCTTATTGAATATATACTGGATTATGCGATTTATCCACTGAAAAAGATTTTACCCAGTCTGTTTCACCTGCAAGGCCACACCATGCCTAAGTCAGGGGTGTTTATAGACAAGACATACTTATTCCCACAACCAGCCAGATTATTTCTCAATGTTTATTCATAAGATATTATTGTTAAACCAAAGTGTCTGTAATTTGTTTTGACTCTGAATACTTTCCATTATTGTAAGTAAAGGGGGATGAATGCTATCCAGATCAGAACATGGCTGATTACCATGCAATAAGGGCCTTATGATGAACTTTTCTCTCTTTGCAAAGATAAAATAAAGGGCAGACTGAGTGAAATTAATGTCTGTTTTTTTAACTGGAGTGAATAGTTGAATACTTTTTTCCCATGACACCATATAATTATTTTCTATTAAAATCTCCAAATATTGATATCAAGTCCTGGTTCAGTCCATCTTTCTCTTCATCTGAAACTGCACTAGCAGTGTTTAGTGATAACTGTGAGTTTAGTTTGCTTCGTTGTAATCGTAATAAGTCACAGTAAATAATGCTCCAATGCTCACTAAGGTCACATAAACATTCTGCATGAATTTAGATATAAAAACAAGGCTTCAAATATTTCCTGGAATGATGTTCAGACCTGAGACTTTCCAGTTTGCAGTTTGGACTCTTCAGTCCAGAAGACAGTAGCTCCACTCCAGAATCTTTCAGCTTGTTGTTACTCAGGTCAATCTCTCTCAGATTAGAGGACTGGGAGCTGAGAACTGAGGCCAGAACATCACAGCTTCTCTCTGAGAGGTTACAGCTATTCAGTCTGAAGAGACAGATATAGAAATGACAATATAAAAGCCTTTTTCGAAAGCTCATGAAGCTCAAACCAGAGCATGTATACCAAAACCCCCAAAAAAGCAGTGTTGCCAACTCCTCAGCTAGAAAAGTTGCTATTGACTGTCCTAAAAGGTACTAGAAGGTGCTGGATGATGTCATCATCAATCCAGGGTAGGATTAGCAGCAGATTTGCATATGCATATTTCACTTGCAAACTGGATTGAACCGAGAAAGGTCATTGCATAATTTCCACAGCTGATGTAATTCAGCTGTAGGATTTTCTAAACCCCTACAATTGTTTTTTATTTTTGTTTTCTAGCTGACATACAAAGCAGCACAAAGTGATAAGATAGCAAGGAGGAAAAGATGTGGGGAATTTGAGAGTTTTGTAGAGACTTTTATAAAAAAGGAAAGAAAATGTATAATTCAATATTTTAGTTCTATACTCCGTACCAATTGATGGCATACATGCTTGCCATCTAGCAAAATAATAACAAATAAAAAACACAAAGAAGTAAGTAAGGGCAGTGCAAAAACACATAAAGAGTGAAGGAGCAGAAGGGGAGAGAATGAGGCTGTAAAATGAATATCCAGTTATTTTATGCAACTGTTAATAATATATTTCATGATTCAATGTTGCAATCTAGGACAGGATTAGCAGCAGCTTTGCTATGCATATTTCACTTGCAAACTGGATTGAACAGAGAATGGTTTACTGCAGTGTAGTCAGCCTGCTCTCCATGTTGACAGCAGAGTAGTTGTAGCTGCTGGTGACTGCCTGCCTGGCTGTATAGAGCTAGTAGCAACAGCTATCTTAGAGCAGTACAGTCAGCAGCAGGAAGTGTAGCTAGTCAGGATTCTTTATTCTGCTGTGTTAACTGTCTCACCTAGAAACGGCATTAGTTTGCAGGAACATGAAGTTCTGATGGTTTTCAGGAGCCCTCAAAATAGATGACAGTTGACAGCATGTACGGGCTGTCAGCTGTAATATATATTAAACAACATGCTAACAATAATTTTAAAGTTATCATAAAATTTATACCTAATGTAGAGCTCTAAGTCAAGTGTCAGGCATATTTTACCATCAAAGTTCAGGGAAATTTTTATTAATAATTCAAATTAAATGATCCTGGCTTGGTTGATGTGAGTTAAAAACTTCAGAAGCAGTGAGTGATGGCCTGTTTATTAAAACGCAACACTTGGACAAGGAATGCTCCAAGTTTCTTGATTCCCAAAGAATGGCACTTTGTGTCTCATAAACCACCAGTCTGAACCCAGAAATACTCCATGGGTGCTGCACTCCTGCACACTGCTCAATGAGAGATAGGGTAATACAGAGATCAATTTTTTGGTGGGAGTTGGGGATAAAGATAGTATTGAGTTATTCAGTCAGTAAGAGGTATTCAGTCAGCAAGGCTGGCATGTAATAAGTTATTGGAGAAACAGGGAGTTCATTTACTATATTAGAGTAAAACAGGAAGACTATTGTGCAAAATTAATCAACTTCTGGATAATGTTTATGCTTTGCTGCAAGAAACATGACTCACACAGTATTCCTCTATGGGAGAGGTCACGGATTAGCGGACCGCGGTCAGGATCCGGACCCCCCTGCTTGCTAATCCCGACCCAACCTGCTTTAGAACATTTATAAATTACCCAATGTTGTCTGATGACAGTGTCTAACTTCACTTGTGCCGCATCTCCTGTTAATATGATAAAGCTGTCCAGAGCACCGGGACCAGGCTACACATTATACAAATTAGCCAATGAGCTGTTTCAGTCTGGGTCACTGCTGCAAGCTACTTCTAGACACAGCAGGCAAACCTGTGGCAAGCCGGGTGGTGGGAAAGGAGGAGAAGTTGATGAGAAAAAGAGAGCAGAGAAAGCTTTAAAGTGGGCTTTAAAGCTTGTGTAGCTGAGGGCTTCTGTTGTAGTCAGTCCATCATTATTCTCATCTAGGCATATCTCTCCTCTGACCTAAAAGTACACTTTCGCTCGCTGTCCATAGTTTTCTTGAGGGACAACATGGAGGTTGTTTTTTTTTTGTTTTTTTTTTTTAGAACACCTTGAAAAGTATCTTTATGCAGTTCACTAGATTAAACAATCTGTCATGATTTTGGCCCTGATGACTGGATTTTTGGTCAGGCTTTCACCCCCAAACAGACGGTCAGACAGAGAGGGCAAGAGAGAAGCTGATCCCACTAATTGGGCTGGTCAACTTCCTTGGGTTGAACATGCCATAAATTCTGCCCTCTCGCACCACTGGGCTCTCTCAGTTTTTTGCTGTGTTTGGTTTTCAGTCATAGATGTTCACCTTTCAGGAGAAAGATTCCAATGTTCCATTGGCCCATTTATCTGCTCTCAGGTGCCAGCGAGTCTGGAGAAGGAATAGAAAGGCCATTTCTAAGGCCTTCGTTAGCCAAGCTACAGCTGCTAATCATCGGAGGGTTCCAGCACCGTTTATCAGGAGGGCCAGAAAGTTTGGCTGTTTACCAAAGATCTGCCCCTTAGGGTAGATAGTAGGAAGCTGGCTCCTCTTTTTATCAGGCCATTCCCCATCAGTAAATTGATGAACCAGGTTACTGTCTGCCTTCAACTCCCTCATGCTATGAAGTTACATCCTACGTTTCATGTGTCCTGGGTCAAGCCAGTTCTAATCTCTAGATTTGTGCCAGGTCCAGGTCCTCTCCACCAACCCGATTCCTTGAAAGGGGAACCTTCATACACTGTCAACTGCCTACAGAGGTTTAGGTAGACAGGCAGGGGGATCCAGTACTTGATGGACTGGGAGTGTTACAGACCCGAGGAGAGGTCCAGGGTTCCTGCTAGATTCATGTTGGGAAAAGACCTGGTTAAGGTTTTTCATAGGGTGCATCCTGGCCAGCCCAAAAGGGCCTCTGTAATCCGACGTTGAGGGGGTTCTGTAATGATCTTTGCACTGATGGCTGGATTATTAGTTCATTTCTCCCGCCTGATTAGCTCTGCCCAGTTTTTATTTTCACTCATCAGATCCACCTGTTCCAGCTCCTATTCAAAATGCTTGCTCTCAGTCATGAGGGTTACCTGATCCTGAATAATTTCTGGTCCTGGACTTCTGATTTTTACTTTCCCTGTTCTGATCTGTTTTGCCTGACCTTTTTTGGACTGCTATTTGGATTCTGCCTACTAACGACCTTGGTTCTGTCTCCTGACCCTGGCGGGAATTTCCCTTCCGTACCTTTTGGGATCTCTGATCTTCTGGCCTTGACATCTGATTCCACATCGCCACTGACTTTAGATTTTCCCTTTCTTTTTCCATTAGTTTCTCCCTTTCTCTTCCTCATCTGCTGGCTTCTGCTGATCAGTAGCTGTAGAGAAATCATTTGGCTGGATTCCATTCCTTCCTCTGGGCTCAGAATGAACTTAAAACCCTCCCTACTATCATTCCCTGTCATAGTTTTGTGGTCATTATTCTAAGTTGCTACCGCTACAGAGATTCAAGTCAGACTGTCCCAGCTGGCAAGCCACACTGAGCAGTGAATAAAACAATTTTTTTTAGAAATCACTTCTGTTCTGTCTGCCTGCCTTCCAAGTTCTGACACATCCCAAACAACCAGTTCATATCTTTACAAACTGTGTTTAGATGGAAAGATATCAGGCTGAGACGGAATTAATTTTAAACCTTAAAGCTTTACTCCTTCATTAGGAAAATTATAAAATTGAAAATAATGTGATATCTATCAAAAAGAGAAAATACAACTAAATAAGCATTTTCTTCAGGTTCTAAACAAGCAAAAAGTAACAACTGTACTTGAAATACTTAAGAACCATGTATGTATAATCTATACAACAGAATTTACTGGATAAGTATCCCATTAATGCCAGTTTCTTTTTCCAGACATATGATTATGCTAAAAGCTGTCAGTCATGATAAGTATATAATACATCTGACATTTGAGTTAGAAGTTCAGCTCTATACCAGCACAGATATATTCCCTTTATTGATTATTAGTGTGATATTTGCTGTATAATTCTATAGTTTGAACTCCCAGAATGTTCTCACAGGTCATCTCTTAGCAGGAGAGAAAGTCCTGGTAATAAATAAGATGTTTCCAGTTTTAAAAACAGTCAATTATTATATTTGTTTTTATTTTATCCAGATTACCATAAAGGAAAACTTTGGAAGTCATGTTTATTGGAGCAAAGGATACATACTATCAAGTGGTTGGTTTCTTCAAACATTGGAGAACTTTTTCTACACCAATAAATGGTAAATTTAATCGCTGTTCCTCCAATAACTTAACACATTTCCTGTTCCCAAAACCATGTTTCCTCTCATTTAATCTGCAAACTAAGTTTTATAGTAAGACAGTTAACACAGCACAATAAAGTAACCAGACTATCTGCTCTAACTCTGCTCCCAAATCCAAAACTTCTAAGGTCATTAGAAAAGTGGTAGAAAAGTGGTAGAAAAATCAGATTTTAAGTTAAAACCATGAGCTCCTCGAACAAATGATGCGACCAATGATTTACTCACTTTTACAAATTGTTGCAGCCTTTATATAAAGTGTTTTTGACACTCCACAAATCAGAGCTTGCGGAACAGCAGCTGACTGCACCTCCAATTAGATTGGCATCTAGACCAAACCATTTTTGGGATAGATCTTATAATAATTAGGAAATGCAACTTGGTTCCCTGTATACAACTGGCGGGGGATGACATCTTTACTCCTCTCTTTGTTTAGATCTATGGGATAGCTACCAAGTCCTATATATCTACCTGGACTAGCCGGTGGTATCTGTTTCCAGGTCTAGCAAGGGTGAACATAATTCATGATTTACAAGAATAAAAAAACTATATACTTAAAGACTTATGTTTGACTTTGATAACAGAAATCATATTGTGCACCAATTAAAAATCTTGTTTTTTTTTTTTTTTAAACTTGGTTGTAGACCTTTAGTAAGCCACTGCCCATAGGCAACCCAGTCTCATGGGAAAATGTACCC